AATGATAACATCAAAACAAATAAATGATTCGAATCACATCTTCAATTGCACTATATAATATTTAATTTTCTAATTTAAATAATTATATATCAATCCAAATATTCTTAATATATTACAACAAATCCATTTCGTGCATCGCACGGGCGCAAATACTAATACTTATTAAACTAATTGCTTTTTTAGAGTAATATTCCTTTCATTTTTCACTCCATTTTTATCTCATGTTAAGCTGACATGTTTTATTAATTTAGAAAAAGAAATTGACCACAATTTTTATTTATTTTGTTTTCTTCGTATAATACAATTTTGCCATGTGACGAAAATTTTCTTTATACAACACGCTTATCATTTTATAATTACTTTTAACAAAAGTCTACAGATATTTAGCTACTTAAAATTATAAATGTGTTTTATGGAGTAAAATTCGAATAACATGTTCAAATTTTATTAGACTTTTAAAAAAAAAAAAAAAAAAAAGACGGGTAGATTAGGTGCATCTTTGCATGTTACTTTAGCACCAAGTAATAGATAATAGTAAAAAATAAAATATAAGTAATAAAATTGTTTATCAATTGAGTGTTATATATTATACTTATATACTTCTAATTCCTGCTTCACTATTATTTTTTTACATGACAATTATGTAGGTCCTATTAAAAGTGTTTATATCAAAATTATAAATGTCATGTTAAATAAAAGTTAAGAGGAAAATTTAAGATAAAAATACTACATGAATTTTACTTTTTACTCTCAATTCCTATTTTCTCTCACAAATTTTTATGCAGACACTTCTTAATATTCACATGATAAAAATATTATATTATTGTTTACTAAATTATAGAGTAAAAGTAAAAAAATAAAATATTAAAATAATGTAGTAGAACTCTCTTAAGATAGGATTACGTGTAACTTATCTAGGATTACGTGCATCAATTGACAACCGACAAAGCATGAGCTTTTTTTTTTTTTTTTTTTTTTTTTGAGCATGAGTTCCTCCTCTAAGATCAAACTTTCCAAACTTGACAATATAGTTGGGAGTAGAGTAGCACTAGACTGACTGAGGAGGATAAGCCACGATGACAAGATCGAAACAAGGCTTTGTTTTTACTACGTTATTATTATTATTGTTAACGCTTCTGACATGTCACGGCGTTTTCTGTCACCGGCCGACGGCGGCGGCCACCGCCGGCCGCATTGTAAGACGCAGCATGCTGGCCAATGGCCTCGGCCTCACTCCTCCCATGGGGTAAGCACTCGATTCCATTTTCCGGCTACTTGCTCACCGGAAAATTTTTACTGCCGGTAGTTATTGTGAACATTATTGGTGGATACATAGTATAATTGTTAGATTTCATTGAACCCAGATTTTGTTGTATTTATTTCTCTTTAATTTTTGTGCCTCTGTTTGTTCCAGCTATATATAATGATTTATTGTTGGGTTTATTTATTTATTTATTATTTTTTCAGATGGAGCAGTTGGAATCATTTTGGTTGCAATATCGATGAGAAAATCATAAAAGAAACCGGTACCCTCTAACCTGTTTGCTCCATTGTTAGATATTTTCTTCTGAATATTAGTACTAGCTCTTACTTTATTGGCTTCTGGTCTTATCTCAGATGTTTTAAGCTTTTTTGTTCTTTTTTTTTTTTTTTTCATCTCCAAACAGCTGATGCTCTGGTTTCAACTGGTCTTGCTAAGTTTGGGTATAAATATGTCAATATAGGTAAGATCTGTAGCATTTCTTGTATGACACAGCTATGTATTGGGATACTATCCCACCTGACGCTATTTCAGCTTATCTATGAATACAACCCATTGGTTGACCTTCAAAAAAAAAAAAGGTAAGATCCGTAGCATTTCTTGTTTCGGGCTTAATTTGTTGGGCGGAGGCCGGTAAAGCTCCAAGTCCAGCACCCTGGCTCTCGAAAATGTGTGGCCATATAGGGAAATAAAGTCGTGCCTTTCCTCTGAGAGAAGTGGTATAAGAGCCAGGTCACGGGTTGAGTATCAGCAGTTAAGACTGGCTGGTGGGATTCTTGGGCAGAGGCCGGTAGAGGGCTAAGTCCAGTACCTTGGCTCTCGAAAGTGTGTGACTTTATAATGAATTAAAATTTTGTCTTCCCTACCAGCTATAACTTTTGGCCTAGTTTTGGTTTTAGCAGCTTATTATGGATTCTGATTATAGTTTATAGTTGAAAATGTGTTCTTCATACTCTGATTACATATCCATAGTTCATTGAGTTTGATTTCTGTACTTAAACCTTAGATGATTGCTGGGCCGAAATCAATCGCGATGACCAGGTAGTCTAGTACCTACTGATTCAATCTCTCCATCCCGTTTTAAATGTTGAAATTTTTTGTATATTTATCTGTATTTGTACTCTTCTTTGCTTGCATTCATGAAATTCCAGGGTAATCTGATGCCTAAGAATTCAACATTTCCCTCCGGCATTAAAGCTCTTGCAGATTATGTGCACAGTAAGGGTCTCAAGCTGGGAATCTACTCAAGTGCAGGGTAAACACTTGAACTCATACCTGTCTAACATATAACCATTAATGTGCAATCCAACTATTAGTTTAGGCTTTTAGTTGAGATGGAGCACATGCTTCAATTTGGTATCAGAGCCAGAAAAAAGGTCCCCACGTGAGGGGCGTGTCGAGCATATATAGCCATTAATGTGCAATCCAACTATTAGCTTAGGCTTTTAGTTGAGATGGAGCACATGCTTCAATTCAACCTCGTAATTATATTAGCTTAGGCTTTTAGTTGAGATGGAGCGCATGCTTCAATTCAACCTAGTAATTATATTATGAAACTGGCTAGAAGGCGCAACTTTTCACCCAACGATCCCCTTAGCCACCAATTGCTAGACTTGCCTTTCACCGGCCTCCGCCTAACAGTAACTATTATTTACTTTTATTTGCAGATATTTTACATGCAGCAACAAAATGCCAGGCTCTCTAGGCCGGGAAGAGCAAGATGCTAAAACTTTTGGATATTGGGTAATATATTCTATGGTTGTTTCGTAAGGGTTTTGATTTCTAATTGCAAGAATGTACAATTATTGGCATTTGGCGTCGATGGGTACAAGTAACTTATAACCGGTTTCTGCAGGGTATAGATTATTTGAAGTATGATAACTGTAACCATGATGGGTCTAAGCCAACTGTGAGGTATTTCTATAATTTGATCAGAATTTGAAATTGCCCAATTTATTCTTGATTTTAAATGGTTTTGGTTCTAGATTTCCTGTTATGACCGGAGCTTTAATGAAGGCAGGACGTCCAATCTACTACAGTCTATGTGAATGGTAATTTTTCAAGCACTCTATCACTGTAATTGCGTTTGCTCAACATTAATTTTGGTATTTGTACTGTTCTTTTTCAATGTAAATAGGGGAGATATGCACCCCGCCCTATGGGGTAGTAAGGTGGGAAACAGCTGGAGAAACACGAATGATATTACTGATACATGGGAAAGGTAAGAGTTGTATACTTCTTCCCGCTACTAAATTCCATCTTGTATGAATGCTCTTGGTACCCAAAAGCAAAATATTGTATGAACGCTTTTATCCTTTCTGAGTTACGGTTTTCTAACAGCATGGTAACAAGGGCAGACGAGAACGAAGTTTATGCTGACTATGCAAGGCCTGGTGGTTGGAACGGTTGGTACTAGGTGTTAATCCCGGTATACTTTGGTACTTAATAGACCAAAAAAAATTTGGTTATTCGAGTTATTATTGCAGATCCGGACATGCTTGAAGTTGGAAACGGTGGAATGACAAAGGATGAATATATAGTCCACTTTAGCTTATGGGCCATTTCCAAGGTACTTCCATAGACCACTCCAAGTAGTGGTTCCCTCATTTAGCATAAAATTTTTGCCCTTTTCGTTATCTTAATATTGTGGTTGTGGTTGCTGTTAAAATTGTACGTTTTAGGCTCCTCTTATTATTGGCTGTGATGTGAGAACTGCTACAAAAGAGACACTGGAAATTCTTACAAACAAGGAGGTGATTGCTGTGAACAAAGGTATGTTATCTTTATGTCCTGGCCGGGTCGGGTGGGGTTATTGGTGTGTGGTTACAACATTCATGCGGATTAATTCTATTCATGTAATTTGAATTCCCCTAATTCCTTCCTCCCAACCAAACGCTCTGTAACTTCGCTATACTAGAAGTGGTTGATGATTATAGCCAGTGAAATTGAAAATTTGGCATTTTGTTGAACAGATCGACTTGGTGTTCAGGCTAAAAAAGTTAGAAAGGAAGGCGACGTTGAGGTAAAGGCTTACAATTAACATGTTATGATCTTTTGGCAATTGGTTTTCGTGATGAAGCTTGAAACAAATCCCTTTTCATAATTTGGTGGTTAGATCTGGGCAGGGCCCCTTTCGGGGTACCGAGTAGGTGTAGTCCTTTTGAATCGAGGCCCCTTGCGATATGAGATAACAGCGGAGTGGGATGACATTGGAATTCCTCTCAAAACCACTGCAATTGCAAGAGACCTCTGGGAGGTAAAGTCCTCTGATACCACTTGTTTGAATTAAGTGTTTATTACTGGGCCAAAAACTATAGCTAGTAACAAAGGTGTAATTTTATTTCTTTATTATTATAGACCGTCATCGCATTTTTTAGAGGTAGGGTGCTTGGCCATTTAGTGGCCTCTGCCCAACAATTCCCTAGCCACCAAGGCACCAATAGATGGACTTGGTCATTTACCCTATTTTGTTAGCTATTTGTAAAGTAAATTTTATTTTTTGTGCAGCACAAGACTTTGAAGACAAGATTCGTGGGGAACTTGACAGCCACTGTAAATCCTCACTCTTGCAAGATGTACATTTTGAAGCCTGTTGCTTAGCCAGCCATGATAGAATAGTTTTTCAATATGGTTTTAGATCATCAATAAATTTGACAAGTCAAGGGACTACTACAATGATCATCAATAAATTTGACAAGTCAAGGGACTACCAAAAATAATAGTGACTATTTTCATTCAATATTTTGTGTGCATCCTTCATCAATCATAAAATCGACACCAAGTAGCAGCACAAACATTTTGGGGTCGTTTACTTTATTTCTCTGTTTTTTCATCTTCAGTTTTTCATTTCTATATTTTTCCAGTTTTCCATCTCCATTTCTCCAATTTTCTAATTTTCATTCCATATTCTTCCCGTTTTTCATTTCTCTAATTTTCTGATTTCATTAAATACAATGTCATATATCATTTGTACATTTCTATAATAATAATAATAATAATAATAATAATAATAATAATAATAATAATAATAATAATAATAATAATAATAATAAAACAAATCTGTAGGGAGGAGGAAAAAAGAAAAAAGAAAAACAAATAATAATAATAATAATAATAATAATAATAATAATAATAATAATAATAATAATAATAATAATAATAAGGAATAAGGGTCAAATAGGCCATCAAACTGCACCCGATAAAACAATTAGGCCACTGAACTTAAAAAACCAACAATTAGGTCCCTAAACTAATCAATTTCAAACAATTTTTTCAATTTGAAAGTTTCCAACAGGTCAACAGGTCATCCTTCCAAATTAATTATTTTTTAAAATTTAAATTTTAAAAATTAATTAGTTTTAAATTAAACTATAAAAATAAAATTAAAAAAAAAAAAAAAAAAAAAAAAAACTGGTTCCGGCCGGAGACGGTAGTCTTCGGCTGGATTCCAATTTTTTTTTAATAGTTTAATTTAAAACTAATTAATTTTTAATATTTATTTTTAAAAAAATAATTAATTTGGGAGATAACCTGTTGACCTGTTGGAAACCTTCAAATTGGAATAATTGTTTGAAATTGATTAGTTTAGAGACCTAATTGTTGGTTTTTTAGGTTCAGTGGCCTAATTGTTTTATCATGTGCAGTTCGATGGCCTATTTGACCCTTATTCCTAATAATAATAATAATAATAATAATAATAATAATAATAATAATAATAATAATAATAATAATAATAATAATAATAATAATAATAATAATAATAATAATAATAAAAGTAAAAGTAAAAGTAAAAATAAAAACAAATCTGTAGGGAGGAGGAAAAAAGGAAAAAAAAAGAAAAAGAAAAACAAATAATAATAATAATAATAATAATAATAATAATAATAATAATAATAATAATAATAAAGTAAAAATAAAAACAAATCTGTAGGGAGGAGGAAAAAAGAAAAAAAAGAAAAACAAATAATAATAATAATAATAATAATAATAATAATAATAATAATAATAATAATAATAAAACAAATGGGAGGAGGAAAAAAGAAAAAAGAAAAACAAATAATAATAATAATAATAATAATAATAATAATAATAATAATATTATTATTATTATTATTAATATAATAATAATAATAATAATAATAATAATAATAATAATAATAATAATAAGAGCGTGAAGGAGAATAACAAAGAAAATGAAAAAGACTTCTAAAATGTGCATAGCAAGATTTGAACAATGGACCTCGCCCATTATGTACTATTCACCCGAAATTTTTACACTCCTCCATTTGGAGAAGTCCAAATCTTCTTTTAAAATTAAAATAAATAAATAAATAAATAAATAAATAAATAAATAAATAAATAAATATATATATATATATATATATATATATATATATATATATATATATATATATATATATAACACAAACCACGCACCTTAAGCACACAACAAAGAACCTTAAGCACACAAATAAAACATCTTAAAAACACAAACCACGCACCTTAAGCACACAACAAAGCACCTTAAGAACACAAATCACGCACCTAAGATTTTAAAATGGGTCTCTTTAAGTTTCACACAACTGACGCATCTTAAGCATACAAATCACACACCTTAAGAAGGAAAACGACCCACCTTAAGAAGAAAACTCACGCACCTTAAGTTTCAAAAACTACTCACAATAAGCACAAAATTCATGCACCTTAAGCACAAAACGCACGCACCTTAAGTTTCAACAACTACTCACATTAAGTACACAACTCACACATTTTAAGCACAAAACTCACGCACCTTTAGCAAAAAAACTCACACACTATAAGCACAAAACCCACGCACCTTAAGCACAAAAACCACGCACCTTAAATTTGACCTAGATGCAAAAATTATCAAATTGCCACCGCGTTTTTTTTTTCTTTCTAAATTTTGGTAATTTTGGACGTTGATTTAAGCAAAATCAACTGCTCTTCTCGCACCGCACAACCGCACCTGGGCGCACCAACTGCATTTGAACATATATATATATATATATACATATATATATATATATATATATATATATATATATATATATATATATATATATATATATATATATATTATTGGTCCCGAAGGGTTTGAGAACGAATTTAGAGGTGGGTGAATAGATTTGTTAGATTTTGAAAAGTTTTTACGAATCGTTAAGTGTGAAACTTAACCACTCGCTCATAGTTTATATGCACATCGGAAGTAAGTTATATCTTTTAAGAAATGTTTGTACGTTGGTTTGATTAATAAAATATAAGTTTGTAATGTTTAAGAGTATGCAAGCGTAAATGCAAAGAGAGAGAGAGAGAGAGAGAGGAAGTTTTTATAGTGGTTCATCAGCTGTTAACAAAGCCTATATCCCGCTATTCTTCTCAACTAGTGATGGTTTGCAGTATCTCCTTAGTACAAAAACACGCTAAGTTTGTTCCTTGACAAAAAGCTGGACACAAACTTGTTTCACAGGTTTTTCAACTTTTTCCAAGTCTACTCCTCCTCTATCTACTATTCCAAGTAAAGAAAATAAGATGAAGAAATGAGTTTTCTTATTTCTCCAATTGAAGAACTTGGCTTAGAATAATTTGGATGTGAATCGTTGTAGTAGCACAAGTCTTCGTAAATCTGGATAAGAACTTAAAGAATTTCTCTCTCTAACTGGTCATAAATTACTTGATGTTTTGACAAAGCTTTTTGCACTTGAATGTTTTTCAAAGATCAACACCTCATTATGTGAAAGAAGGGGGTATTTATAGGCATGAAATATTGTTTCGTTGGAGGGAAAACAAAATTTCAAAAAGCCTATTAACCAGTGAGTAGTAACCAGTGAGTAGAGACCACTAGGTACTTCGAGGCTAGGTGAGTTGTGAGTACTTTCCAACCGTTAGTTCCTTGAAGTGCACTGAACATTTGTCTTTTGTTCTGCACAAAAAGACATGACATTTAATGAAAGTTGACTTTGAGATATGTTCCTAGGACACGTTTTGTCCTGAACATATTAACTCACTTTTAAGGTTTCGGACTGTTCACGCTTAGAGAATGTCTCTGGATTGTCGTATCGAGTTGTTAGCTGGGCTAATGTCTCGAGCCTTTGTCCACTCGAATATGATTGGTTGACTTTACAAATCATCCCTTAATGCCTCGAATGATCTTCTTTATCATTCGGCCTTTATAGCTCACAAGAGGTAGACCCTTCCATGATTCGGTCTTTTGTAACCTCTCGACTTTGTCTTCGAGTCTTCAAGCCTTAGACTACAAATCGTTGATAGATATCTTCTCGGGTTAGGTATTAATTCGTTGTCTTCGATTCGTTTCAGAGTTGTTGTCTCGGATAGCTTCCTTGATAAAGGGTTTGAATCCCACGAGTGTTCATTTTGTTCACTCGGATTAACGATTCGAATAAAGAAGGACTCGACCTAAGCCTAAGACTGAAAACGAATCGAGGGGTCTAATCTCCTAAGCTTGGTATCATCAACATCTAATTATAAAGTGTTTCCTGTCATATGTCTCGAACAACCGCTGTCAAAGTACCATATTGTCTCTGTTAAAGCAGCAGACAGAACAATAGTGGGGTAGCATAGCACTTCAAATTTTCTAACCCAAATCTGCCTTTTGAAAGGAGTTATGTTTTCCTTCTGATACATCTCTTCTCTCTGATCTCTATAGAAATAATAATAACATTCTGGCCTGGTATGCCCCCTAGTCTGACAGTAGCGACATGTAGGTACATACTGTCTTGTTTGAACATATTTTCTTTTATTTCTTGTATGTAGAGATTGTCGAACTGGTGCAGGACCAGTAGGAGCAGATGTATTCCCTTTCACAAACACAGTTTTGGAGTTTGAGGACTCTCCCAAATCTACTCTTGGATTTTCTGCTTGAATCTAGAATTTTATCCAACATAGAGGTAGTGACTATCATCTTGATGTTTATCTTCAGATCCTCCATTTCCTTCATCAACTTGCCTTCACGAGATCTAATCTGAGTAATCAGATCATCCTTCATAACTAGATCATCATTCAACTTCTTAATTTGTTCTTCATACTACTTCAGATCTTCATTCAGATTTTTATTGAATTTCATCTGAAATTCCCAGCTAGCAATAAACTTGGCATATTCTTGTTCAAATTAAGTATGTCTTTCTTCGAAATCATCGGAGGACATATAGTCATCATCATCATCACAATATGACATAGATTTTGTTGCAGTGAAGAATGCAACAAAGTTTCCAATATTTTCATCAGTCACTTGGTCTGCATTATCCTCTTCATCGTCACTTAAGGTTGAGACAGGCATAGATTTCTTCCATTTCAAATATGTTGCACATTTAGCTTGTATGTGACCAAACCCTTCACATTTGCGGCATTGAACTAACCGGTTTAGGGTTTTACCAGTGCTGTTTGTAGAATTCTTAGACTGTTCGGAGCGACACGTTTGCCCAATCTTTGAGCTAGACGTTTTAGACCCAGATTTCTAACTGAAGTTGTTTCCTCCCTTAGATTGATTTATGTTAGACTAGCCTTGCCCTCTTCGATTAAATCCTTTCAAGATTTTCTTGAAGTTCTTAGTCAACAAGGCTAGAGATTCATCATCAAAGTCCTCAGCGTTAGAATCTTGATCAGCATCCGTAATGAATGCCACTGATTTGCATTTTCTAACTGAACTAGGGTTAAGCTAATACAAGTTAAATCATTAGTTCAGTTAATACAAATTAAAAGTAT